AATCCCAGCATTCAAGAGACCAAGGCTGCCAGATCTCTATGAGATCTAGGCCAGCCTGATCTACATAGTGAGTTCCAGGCTAGCTGTGGCTACAAGAGGACCCTATCTCAAAAAAAAAAAAAAAAAAAACAAAGTGTGTGTTATGATAATAATTGACTCTTAATGGCTTCCAGTGCGGACTAATCACTATACCAACCAGGTAATTTAATGGTTGGGAGGTTAGGATTGGCCCATTTTTGAGAAAGAATAAGAAGCTAGAGTAAGCTCAATTTTGGTATGAATGATTTAATTAATCATACCCAAAGGTAATGAGATTTCAATAAAAACCCTGGATACTTAGACTCTAATGAAGCAAGTGGAGCTTCCCTCCTGGTGAGTGTTCACTAGTGTTCTGCACACTAGTGTCAGACAATGACACATCCTGATTACAAGAGAAGACACAGAAGCCCTGCATTTCCTTGTCTTTTATCTCCATTTAGATAATTCTAATGATCTGTATCCTTGAAACAAAACTGCAATCACAAAAATAGTAACTTGAGGTCTGTAAGTTGTTTTAATGAAATATCAATTTTGAGGCGGTCCTGAGGATTTGTTAGTTTACAGCCAGTGGGCCAAATCATAGATGACCTGAAAATATTTGTTAGTCTCTGAAGTAGGAGCAGTTTCCTGGAGGACTAAGCTCATAACTTGTAGAGTCTCATGTTAACTCCTGGTTACAGTTAAAACTATTCTGCAACACTCCAAGAAGGGAGTGAATGAAAATGTCTATGTCTGTGTGGCATATGCACATGTTCAAGTGGGTATGTGCATGTGTGTGTAGGTCAAAGTCAGATGCCTTCTTAGATTGGTAACTGAGCCATCTTCTCAGTCACAAAATATCTTTAAGCTTAACCAAGCAGCAACTATTAACCATTGTTATAAAAAGTAGTCCTGAACACTTCATTTACCAATTAGATAATGATTTAATAAAGCCCATTCAAAATATTCATGGTTCCACTTTAATCAAGGAAACAAATTATTGAAAGCAAACAAATCTCATCCAACTCTTATAACAACAAAGGGCTCAAGGTTTATGAAGTCTTCACTGATTCTGCTCCCATTTTTAAAAAAGTCTGCCTGCCTGAGAACTTAGCAAGTACTGTCCCTCTGTTTGTGAGATAATTCTACCTTTGTATTAAATCCAAAGCAGTAACTTCCTCAACTCATTTTTAGAGGGATAAGCCAACTTGTTCCCTTTTCTACTACTACTGTCTGCTATGCTTTATCTAATGAAAACACTGTTATCAATCAAAGATATATGACTTCTCATGGGGTTGAGGTACAGTTTAGTGTCAGAGTATATGCCTAACATATGGAAGTCTACGTTCAATCCTAGCACCAAACACACTGACTCCTTATATTAAAAATTAAAAATTCAGCTAATATTTTATTCCTGTTTATTCAAAAATAACACACTTGGGGCTAGAAAGATGGCTCAATGGTTAAGAACACTTGCTGTTCTTCCAGAAGACTAGAGTTTAGTTCCCAGCACCCACATCAGGTGGCTTACAACCACCTGTCACTCCAGCTCTATGGGTCATGACATCCTCTTCTGGCCTGTGCAGGCACCTGGCATGCACTCAAGACACATGGATACACATAAATAATTTCTTTTAAATCTTAAAAAAATACACTTAACATTTTATGTTGCACAAGGACTACCATATTCATTGGTCAAGCTAGTCCTAGAACAAGAATAGGTAAAATGTAGGGGAGAAAAAAATTGAATCATCTAGTATCTGAAAAAAGAGAAACCACAAGGATAAGAACTCTACAAATTATTCCTTTCAGAGTTTGCCATTTAATTCTGAGCACTCAGAAACTAGTTGATATAATCAGAAACCAATGAGAGAATACTGGACAAACAGTTCTCCACATATTACAAAAGTTTGAAGAAACAGCTATGAAATAATATAGCTCAATTTGTGGTCATTATTCCATGTCTAACAACTTTTCAGCATAGTTTAACAAGATGAATAAAGGGTTTACTGCATTTAATGCTTAAGGAAAGTTACTTTAGTATTCAAATATAATGTAACTTCTGTTAAGAATTCTACCAAAAAGGTATTTTTTTTCCCTCAACAGCACATTAATTTTATTCTCATCATGTTGATACAACAGTCACAACTATACAATGAAAATATGTAAAACTGAGATGTGACAACATCTGTGTATCATCTTTGCTTTTGCTTTTTCTTGTTTTTTATTTTTTATTTATATTTTTAAATTATTTAATAACCACATGATTAGAAGAAGCATTTCATTACAGCACTAACATATTCAATAAGAATTTTCAGAGCACAGATACATCTCTTTCAAAAGTGGCTATAAATTTTTAGGTTCACAGTTGAATTAATACAGTTATACAATATTGAACACAGTATAAACCCTATAAGACATAAAAATGAATGAGGTTTTAACATTTAAAAGAGATCTCCATTTCATTTTAAAATATACTGTTTCCTACAGAAAAACTCATTTTTAATGCTACTAACACTTATGATTATTACTAGTCATAGTTGGTTACACTCAGATCCTTGGCACCTGAGTATGGATATAAGGTCCAATGGTAATGTTTTTCACTTCTACTAATTAACATGAAGCAAATTTTTATGCTTCTTCCTCAAATATAATTCATTTTTTAATTTTATTTTTTTTGTATTTCATACAGAACATCCCAAACAATCTTACTCATCTATATACCCACATCCCAAATAGCACTCTCCCATAGCTACCCCACTCCCACCCAGAGCCCATATACTCTGTCATCCCTGTTACTGTTTACTGTGTGGTCAGCGCCCCCAGACGTTCCCAGTGTTTATCCATCCAGTGAATCTAGTCAGCCTATCTAGAGTTCCTTGTTTTAGGAAGATCAGCTCTTCCTCATCTAGCAGCAATCAGTTGTCAATATTCCTTTAGATAATACTGGGGTCTGCTGTTCATTTTCCCAGTTCTATGCTGGGTTACTGTCTGAGAGTCTTTTGGGGAAGGTATCTCCTGTCTGGCATTGTTTCCTGTTATGCAGCCTTTAGCTATATACATGGACTCTTAAAGAATTATATTGACCCCTTTAATCTTTGGTTATACTTTCCTTTTGGGTGTTTAAGACCATACAGTTGGCCCAGATAAACCAATTTACTTTTACTCTTAAGGTCGTTTGAGGATATGTTCCTCAGAGGTCACATGGGCTTGGGAGGAGCCCCTGACTGCTTTAATGAGGTATCTTAATGCACATGTAAATTTGATGTATCTCTATCACCAAGGAAATTATAAAGAAATAAAGAAAATGCAGTATCATGATGAAATTGGCTCACAACAAAGAAGCATGAGAAATATTCAAAACTAACAGAAATAGATGAAAAAAACTGTAGTCTAGAGAAGCATGCAATATAAACACAAAAAATAGCACCTTTTGAGGTGAGCTAGTTTAGTCTCAGCCGTGTCCCTCGCCATTGGCGTTCATGAACTGTGGGCGGAGACTGGAGGGGGTTGGGGCCCACCTGTCACTGGCCTGAGCATCTCTTTGCAGTCTGCCCACAGCCAACAAGGGCCCCGTGGTGAAGAACACGAGCAAGCCGAGGCACAGCCTGCGGCGCTGGCACCTCACCTGGCATACCATGTTTGTGCAGGACATGATCAGGGAGGTATCCAAGGACAAGTACACACTCAATTTCATTAAGAAGAGGGTGGTGACACATATCTGTGCCAAGAGGAAGCGGGAGGAGCTGAGCAAGTGTTGATGGCCCTGAGGAAAGCTGCGACCCTGAGCCTGCTTCCTGTGCCCTCAATAAAACTTTTATAAACCCCTCCCCACAACATAGCATCTTTCTAAAAGGAATTAACAGTGACAGACCATGATAAATCCAATCAAACTCTTGTAAAAGTACTTTTAAAATACAGAAAATCATTCATCCATAAATACAGCTTATGTTGAATTAAAGAAGACAAAGTTCTGATAGCAATATAGAAACGAGGGAAAGCTGCTAACAAGAAGACTCTAAAGTTATGAATATGTTGAGCTGGGCATGATGATGAATGTCTTTCATTCTGGCACTTGGGAGGGAGAGGCAGGCAGATCTCTGTGAGTTTGAGGCCACCCTGGCCTACATACTGATTTCCATCCAGACTAGCCAAGCCACATAATGAAACCTTGTCCACCCCACCACACACACACACACAACATACACACACACACACACCCTTCCCATGTGTCATTTTGGTCATAAAGCAATGCAATTAATTTGTTAATTACAGCAATGGATAACCAGAATATAATCTGAACTTTAAAAAGGCGAAGGGCTGGGGGTGTTGATCAATGGTGGAGCACTTTATTTAGCCTGTGCGAGGCCTTGGGTTTGATCCCCAGCACAACAAAAACGGCAGGAATCCTTCAGCTGAAAGCTCACAGGCTATCCTCATATAGAAAGAAATCTATATGGAGACTAAACTGCCCAGTAGCATTGAACAAAATAATATTAGAATTATTGAACAATCATTTAATTTTAATAAGAGTATAAAGGGAACCATAAATATACTGAATTTAAAGGAAAAAGAAGAGCTATTATCAGTTCATCCATGTACCATAATTACTAGCAGAAATTTATGAGTTAAAACTGCATACATCTCATTTTTCTGTATCTACTAGTTTTTCAAATGTAATGTAAAGTTTACATTATAAACTCCAAAATAACATGTTTTAAGGGTTTTTTTGGGGGGGACCTTTTTTTTTTGAAAGGACTACTTTATAATCTCACATGTCCCCAATTTTAAACCAAGCAAACAAAAAAAATTTCTTACTCCCATGAGAAATGATAAAAAAAATGTTTCCACATGTTACTTAGTGTTACAGGAATAAGGTATTCTTCTTACCATGAGGCTATCTATTGGTTATTTCTTTCTCTTTGGATAACTACAGAAAAGCTATGGCTTATCCACTAAGAAATAAGAGTCTGCATACTAACCTGGCCCAGTCCAGGCATACCTCCTCCAAGTCTAAGAAGTCTGTCCATATTTCTAGAAAACAGAAACAAAGGAAAATGTTCCTAAGCACAAAAGTGTTTACTCAATTGCTATCTATATAATTCACCTTCAGTCACTCAGTATGTCAAAAATATTGGTGGTAATTACCACACAACATCAGACTTCCTGTTAATTAACACCACATATTAATTCAAGAAGCTGTCTTCCATGCTAATTAACAGACCTTATTTTACTGCTTTGGTTTTGGGTTATCCCCAGTTTTAAAGACAAGCAATCTTAGCATACTTTCAAAACTTTGCTATCATTAAGTTAATTATATTTTCTTATTGTTATCTAATAAAGTACCTGAATGGGGGGAAAGTGCCTGAAAAGCTTATCATATGTATGATTGAATTTCCTTCAGTTTGTCCAGAGTGTACAAATAAAAATCTTCACTTTTAAATTAAATTTTAACATCCTCATTAGTAAGTGCTGTGCTAATTAACTTACAGCTTGTCAGTTATCATCAAAACTACATGTGAAAGACATTGTGAGTAGATATGGATCTCTGAATTAGCATCAAAGGCTTTTTAAATGAACTCATTATACTAAAAGAAATACTATAGAGTAAACATTAAATGCATTACAATAGTGTTCTAGAACCTACATAGATATATTATTTCAGATGTTAGAGATACACATCCTTTCACTAAGAAATTCAGCAGCTGTTCTCAATTATATTTCAGAGTTATTATTACAAAAATGATTATCTTTAAGATCTCAATTTGACTTATTTTCAATGTAGGGAGTAAATACAGGAGATACCCATAAGCATGAGAAGCTCACCAAAGAAATAAAGGAATGGCATTGTACTTATTACATGGCATTAAAAAAACACAATAATCGAATTATTAAAAGGAGGAACAGTACAACTAAGTATTAACAAAAATGAAGCATTTTTGCCTCCTAAAAACTGCTACTGTGCTTTAAAAATTTCTCTTTTCCCTAAGTGTATGCTTTAGAAAATGCTATCACCATAAGTTATACTCTAAGTGATAACTAAGTAGAACTGCTTTACAAACTAAACCTCAATATGTATTTAGGATCATTATATTTCTGCTCAATCAAGTTTCTTGAATCAGTCAGTAACAATTTAATACTACTGATATGTAACAACGATAATAATACAAACTTCATTCAGGTCTACATATAGAAAGGTGCATAAATGACAAAGCCATGGATACATCAAAGTTAGCACACTGATGTAAGCCATTACCTAAATAAAGAAAGCACATTAAATACCTCTCAAGCCCCCTTCCAGTCTCTACCAATCCACAAAGATAGGATTCCAACTTCTAAGAACACAGATTAGTTCTGCTGCTTTCAAATTTTCTAATATATATATACTTTTGTATCTGACTTGTTTCACTGAAGTTTGTGAGATTCAGTTCACAACAGATAAATTCATTAGTACAATGAAAAGGGAAAGACCTTTATATTCCAGAAAAAACATAATCTTCAAAACCTTGCTTACCTGCCAAATAACATTTACAAATAACATCTTCATCAAGTTCCTCAACTCAAATGTCAGTCAATACAATGCCTTTTAAAAATAATCTTGCATATTTCAAACTACTAAAGATTTTCTCTAGAATGTAGCACTAAAGAAGAAAACTTCTTTTGGACCACTTCAAGTTCATAAAACTAAAGAATCAATGAGGAAGGGGAACACAAAACACACTTCTGAATACATATACAAATACATATACATATACATATACATATACATATACATATACATATACATAATATTCATTCTAGGCCAAAGTCGATTCCCAGCTGTGTTCAGTTTGTCTTTTCTCCTGTGCTGTTTCTGATGACTTTACACAGACTCCAGATGCTGTGAATATACATGAGTGATGTGGGGAGCACAGGGAAGGAAAATCTGGCAGGTCAAATTTGTGTTTTTCACAAAACTAGATGTCTCAGCAAACAGAAAAAAAGATTTTTTTTTTTTTGAGACAGCGTCTCCCTGTAGCCCCAGCTGTCCTGGAACTCACTATGTAGACCAGGCTGGCCTCAAACTCACAGTGATTTGCCTGCCTCTGCCTCCCGAATGCTGGGATTAAAGGCGTGCGCCACCACGCCTGGCTAAAAAAGATATCTAACAAATTAAAAGACTTAAGATGAACACATTTTATAATACTAACATTTGGAAATGAAATACATTGATATTCTAAATCACACACTTAAAAATCCAGTTATCACACACACTCGTAATTTGATATCTGTTAAAAAGAATACACTTCCGCAGTATCTATCATATCCTAAAACAGTTAAAGGTAAAATGCATTCTTAAAACTCACCTGCTTGGCAACTGTAATTCTTAGGGTGTTAAGCTTCAATTTGTTGAATGTGACAAATTTCCTACTAACTCAAACTCTTATTTAATTCTTGCAGGTATAATTTTTTTTCCAAGTAGTTTTTACACGTTCCTTTAAAAATAAAAATAAAAAAATTTAAAGATATATAATTATCTTGAGAATTAAGGAGAACCCTTTTATATCAAAAATCTTTAAAAGAAGCAAAATTTTGCAAATGAAACGGAGGTCAACATCTTCCCCCAATGCCAGGGATTTGACCCGGGACCTCATGTGTGCTAGGCAAGCACTCTTTTAATCTCCAGCCCTAAAATGGACTTTTATTATTATTTCCTGAGAGATAGACTGACTTACCATCCAATACAGCCACAGAGAAGAGATTACTATTAACTTTTACATATATATTTAACTTTTGCACACTGACATTTTATAGCTTTCAGTATTTCTAGAGCTCTCTCAAAAGACAAAATTTACTTATATTTTTAAATAGAATAAAATTCATTTCATTATGCAATTAATATATAGGCTCAATACAAATTATTACATTTGTGATACATTTTAGGATTCTAGTAATGTTATATTTCTTTTATTTTGAAAGCTTGATTTTCATTGGCCTTAGAATTAGTTCATCATTATTCACAACTATGATAGGATCAAAGTAAGAAAATGGAAAATGGTAAGAATTATATAAAATAATGCAATAATGCAATAAATTATAACAACTGCATCATCCTTCAATTCTTACTGTGTTGCACAAAGCACTGATTCATCTTTCAAAAAGATGACAGGAGGAGATCCTGAGTTTGAAGCCAGTCTAAGCTAGAAAGCAAGACCCTATCTCTTTATCATTAAAAAGTAAAACAAAACAAAACAAAACACCCCAAAACCACAGGCTAGAAACATCATTGTTGTCTTCTCTCCTTACCCTCTCAACACTTTAGAATTCAAAAGTTTTTATTTTCCACCCATAATGGCAAAGGGATAACAAGTGAAAGAGAAAAAAGTTTCACTATTACTGCAGGATCAAAGTGAATGCAAAGAGCAGATGGCAACATTCTAGTTCGCTAATGACAATAAAATGAATGCTGCAAGTGAGAATTTATTAACTTTAGTACTACTGACATTCAGACAAGGAAATTTTGCTATGGGGGCTATTATATGTATTACTGAGAGTTTAGCAACAACTTTGACCTCTATATACTATATGCTAGTAGAAGCTACTAAACTGTGACAATCAAAACTGTTTCTAAAGATTGCCAAATGTCCCCTGAAAGGAAATCACTCTCAACTGAAAAGCACTGCTACAAACTAAATTTTAGACTATGCATCTTGAGATGGCAATATGCTAGGTTACTAAGGAGTGCTAAAAACAATTTGGCAGTTGTTCAAAAATTTAAACACAGAATTACCATATTGTTCACCAATTCTATCCCTAGGAATATGTCCCAAAGAATTTAAAATGGGTTCTTAAAATAAGGCATGTACACAAACATATAAAGCATTACTATTCACGATAACCAAAAGGTAGAAATAGTCCAAATATACATCATAGGAGGAATGGAAAACAAATTCTATCATATACATATACAGCAGAATACATGAAATATTATTTGGCTATAAAAAAGAAAAATTAGTAATACACGTTATAGTTTGGCAGAACCTGAAAACACGTTAGGGTTGGAAATGGAGCCCAACCACTGAGTGCTTACCTAGCATGTAAAAGGATCTGAGTTCAATTCCCAGAACAAGAAAGACAGAGGCAGACAGAGACACACAGACCCAGACCCAGACCCAGACCCATACACACACACACACACACACACACACACACACACACACACACACACACACACAGAGAGAGAGAGAGAGAGGGGGGGGGATATCTCTCATGTTCTGGGAATCGAACTCAGTTTACACTCCCATCAACAAGGAATAAGGGTTCCTCTTTCCCCACATTCTCAGCAACATTTGCTGTCATTCGTTTCCTTGAGGATGTCATTCAGACTGGGGAGAAATAGAATCACAAAGTATTTTTAATTTGCTTTACTCTGGTGGCTAAGGTACTTAAGGCTTTTAAAATAATTACTGACCATTTCTGTTTCTTCTTTTGAAAACCGCTCTGCTGAATTCCTTGGCCCATTTATTGATTGGCAGCTTTGGTTTGTTTTTTGGTTTTTGGGTTTTTTTTTTTTTATGTTTAATTTTTGCAGTTCTTTATATATATTGGATATTAGCCTTGTGTCTAAAATATAGCTGACAAAGATTATCTTCTATTCAGTAGGCTGTCTGTTCATTCTGCTACTAAGCTTCCTGTGCTGTGTGGAAGTTTTTTATTTCATGTAATCCTACTTGTCAATTATAGTTGGTATTTATAAATCTAAAAATAAAAGTGTTTTACAATTATAAGTCAAATATGATGGCTCTCCTCCATTAAACAAAATCATGAGCTGTCAATGTTTTCAAAAGTGTTCAAGTGAGAAGATGGAAAAGCTCTGGAAATGGCTGATAGAAATGGTGATGATTCAACAAAGTGAACATACTTAATGCCATGGAATTATATACCAAAAATGGTTAAAATGGCAAACTTAATCATGTATATTTAACACACACACACACACACACACACACACACACACACACACACACAAAATACACCAAGGGCAGGAAGAAGACCCAGAAATAAGTTAGGGTCTATCAGAGGTATATTTATACTTTCAGGGTTTTGGTGGCAATGGGAATTGAACCCATAGCTTCTACCATGCTAGTCAAGCATGTACCCCTAGCTCTTACAGAAATATCTGCAACACAGAATTTATCTCCACAAGATATATATACTCCAGGTCCATGTATGACAACTGATGAACAGTTAATTAATTCAAAAGATGTTGCCCACTTCAAAATCAGAAAAACAAAATATACATTTATATTTGCTATGTACTCTTCTTCTGGGGGGACAGAGGGGTGTGGAGAGATCTCTTTATAGCCCCAGCTGGCCTGAAACTTATGCACACCATAGTGAGATGAGCCAGGGATCTGCCAGGGTGCTAGGATTAAAGGCATGCGCCACCACACCCAACCCTATGTACTCTTTATTAACATCTCTAATATAATTTTTCACCATCCTGTAAAATAAAGTCAACTGGAAAGAGATGGTAAATGACAACTACTTTTCTGAGTATATGAGGCTTGAGTGCTATCACCCCGAAGTTAACAGTGCCAGGAATCAAACACAAGCTCTAATACTCATTAGCAGGGTGCTTTAGGGTTAATTACTTCTTGGCCTCAGTTTCCTCATCCACAAATGGGAATAAAGATAGCACCTACCTCACAGAGCCATTTAGAAGATTAAGGAAGTCAATGCACATAGAAAAACAGTTAACACAATCATAAATATAAAGGGACTGAAGAGGTAGCCCAGAGGTTAAGAGAATTTGCTGCTCTTGCAGAGGACCTGGGTTCAGTTCTCAGCATCCACACAGTGACTCACAACCATCTGTAACTCCAGTTCCCAGGAATCCAACACCCTCTTCTGACCTCTGGGAACACCAGGCAAATATTCATACACACACAATTTTTTTAAAATAGCAAAGCAGACTGTGAATGCTACCTGCTGTCATCAGCACTCATCATACTAGGAGACTACCAATACAGACCCTTCTTCCTCACTTTGAAGCTACTTAATGGGCCTCAAAACACGAGAAATATTTAACAGAAATAAATTCACCATACTGGAGACAGGAACTTGCATTTTGCAGAATTAAGCAAAGAGGGTCAAAAAGCTAAAATGCATACCATGCTGGGCATGGGGGCCCATATCTTTAATCCCAGCACTTGGGAGGCAGAGGAAGGCAGATGTCTATTAGTTCAAGGCCAGCCTGTTCTACATAGCAAGTACCAGGAAAGTCAGAGCTATATAGTGAGACTCTGTCTCAAAAATAAATAAATAAATAAATAAATACCACAACATGAAAGTGCATATTTTCAATTCTCAAAAATAGAAGCAATATAGCCAGGCATGGTACACACCTTTAATCCCAACATTCCGGAGGCAGAGGCAGGCAGATCTCTGTGAGTTAAGGGCCAGCCTGATCTACACAGTAAGTTCCAGGCCAGCTAGGGGTATAGAATATAGACTTCTAGAGGCTAAAGGCTTATAAAAAGCTGAGGATCTAAAAGCCCATTCATCGGGGCTGGATAGATGGCTCAGCAGTTAAGAGCACTGGCTGCTCTTACGGAGGACTGGGGTCCATTCCCAGCACACACATGGTGGTTAACATGGCCATCTGTAACTCCAGTTCCAGGGGGAATCTGACATCCTCTTCTGACCTCCATGGGCATTGCATGGCATGGGTGTACTTTTATGTAGGTAATGTACCCATACACAAAAAATAAATAAATATTAAAAATAAAAGTCCATTCATGATATGATTAACTCTACTTAATACATTATTAACACAATATGAACAGTGTTTTTATATACCCAATATAACATCACATATACAGTAATAGAACACTAATCAACAAAAATAGAAAAATAAGCATCTCCTTGAAGGTTGATGGCTCTCCACTTAACCTCAAGTCAGTATCTGACTAGAACTTAACTTTTTTAGATCATGTTCATGTTAGATTTAAATCAGTTCTCAAATATTAACAGGCAATATATGGAATTAACAGGCAATATATGGAACAATGGCTAACTAGAAAGCAGATCCCACAAAGTTGTATAAATTTTTTTTCAAATTTGCAACCTTTTTTCAGATACTAGCATCTCAAAAATGTGTAAAACTCAAAAATCCTAAGTGCTTAGCCCTTGAAGCTTATCATTACATTTCCTATTTTACTGTTTTTAGTCTCCATTCCACTGTGTAAATACTGTTATTCTCAGACTTACAGTAAATCCTTTCCAAATTATTCCATATTTGCAATCTTATATTTCTGTATTTTCAATTTCTCTATTCTCTGATTTGTGGAAAACAGAATTTCTTTCTAACTTTTTTCCAGTGAAGAATTAAAACTAGAAATAGTTTAATTACACAAATGAGACTTTTTTTTTTCCATCTTTGGTTTTTGAAGACAAGGTCCCATCATATATTCCTGCCTGACATGGAGCTTGCTATATAGTACAAGCTGGCCTCGAGCTTGCACCAATCCTGACTGCTGGAATTACAAAATTTTAAAAGCAAGCTTGGGAGCCACTGTTAAGGTAGCTTAGCAGTTAGAGGCTCTTGCTACCAAGCCTAACGACCTGAGCTGGACCTCAGAACCCATATGTTGAAAGAGAACTGACTCCTGAAGGTTGTCCTCTGATTTACCTACCTACATACTA